TTATTTTAAAGTCTTCAAAAGATGGGTGCTCATTCAATTCGCAAAAGAATTTTTCATATGAATTTACTTGCAATGTGTCCATTAAACTATTAGTTGTAGTTCGAATCATATTCATGTTAACTTTTAGTTGATGTTTCGCTCATATTTATATTATCTAATATTCTCATTCAATTTTATAGCTCATTTTATGTATCATAGAAGTAAAACTGAAAGTATGAAGAATTATTTTACTGAAAGTATGAAGAATTATTTTCTTATGAAATTAGAACAGAGAGATTATGATATATTTCATCATGTGCTCTAAATATAAATTTTTTTATGCAAGGTCCCTATCAAATCTTACCACAAACGATGTGAATGAAAAATGTTATTTATAACTTATTTGTTTAGAAGTAATTTATAAAATATACATGGACAGTGCAGATAGCTATAGAAAGTAATGTATATCATAAAAATTTTATAGTGAGTGGCCAACTACAATCATCCTAATTTAAGCATAAATAATTATTATTTTAGTTACTAATTTGATACGCGTAACTATAGAATAAATCTCCAGCAAAAAATAAGAATTGAGATTATATTATACTGTAGGTAAATAAATAAATGTTATTAGAGCTCCTCTTTATATTGAATTTAAAAGATAATTTAAATTATTAAGCACCAAATGTTAGCTCATGTGAGAAAGTAAAGTAATGTATGGTCTATATAAGTATATAGTCAATAAATCAAACGTATTAAAATAGTCAAAATTATGTGGTGGGTTCACATTAAATATAATTTGTAAAAAATAGTACATTAAAGTCAAAATTTTTTTAACCACTACATAGATTATCTGAAAATTTTTGCATATATAAACTATGCTGCCTAGGGATAGTGATGTGCATGCTTAACTATGGTCTAATAATCTTAAGAACGACTTATTCTTCAATATTATCATTAATTAATATATATGTGCATTACACTGAAAATACAATAAAAATTTAAAAAACTATAAAATAAACACCCTCAAAAGTTTTAAAAAGTATGAAAACACCCTAAAATTTGTAATTTATAAATACACAAAACTATTAAACATTACATTAAAATCAAGGAATTACAAAACAATTATTGAAAAAATTTCAAACTTTGGGGTAGTTTGCCATGTACTAAACTTTATGGGTATTTTTTTTTATAAATTTCAAATTTAATTGATTTTTAATTAGTTATGTTCTTTTCAAAAAAGTTATGGGTAATATTTACCATGAAAAGTTTTTCCTAAACCTATAATTTTAAAAGGTGTATAATATTTTTTGCAAAATTTTAATTTTCTAGGGGTTGTTAGTAATTTTGCATATTCATTTTAGTGTATATAGGTTAAAAATATCATGGAGTTTTTTTTGTAAATTATAAAATTTAAGGACTTTTTGTATTTTTTAAACTTATAGGCATTTTCTACTGATTGTAAATTTTTTATAGACTATTAATACTTCCTATGCTTTCAATTTACTAATGAATTTAAAATTTTTAGGGTATTTTTTGTAAATTTTGAATTTTAAAGGATTGTTTGTAATTTTTAAAACTTTAAGGGTGCTTTCTATAAATTATTAATTATATAGGAGATATTTATAATTTCTATATTTTTAATGTACCGTTAGGTAAAAAATTATCAGGATTTTTGTAAATTATACAATTTTAAGGGTTTTATTTTGCAATTTGTAAAAAGTTCACAGTGTGTATTGCAAATTTTATAAATTTTTAAGGGTTGTTTGTGTTATTTATAGGTTTTTAGTATGTTTATAAGTTTGATATTTTCAAGGTGTTTTTTATAAATTTTAAAATTTTAGGGGTGTTTTTATAAATTTTAAAACTTATAAGATATTTTCTCAAAAGTCAAAATACTTTCAGTTTCTAGTTAACATATATTTTTTTTAGATTTCTCAGTGATTTGAGATAAGTAAAATTTATAATTTTCAATATGCTTTAATAAAATTTTAAATTTGTAGGGGTGTCTTTGTAATTTAAAAAACTTAGAGAATATTTTTTACAAAATCCAAAACTTTTAGGTGCTGGCTAGCATATGTTTTTGAAATTTCTCTACAAACTGAAATAAGTAAAGGATTTGAATTATATGAAACATATCTATTTTATCCAATAACATGTTATGTCTCATTATGAATAGAATAAATCATTTGGTTGCTAATTCAAAGAAGATAAGATAATTTAAATAGATTAGGATAACAATGTAATATTAAAAAAAACCTAAGAGTAATATTGGTCATAGAAAGATTTTCCCGAACTTGTACTTTTAAAGGGAGTATGATATAAAGTCTCTTCATATATTGTATGGAATCCTAAGTATCATCAATGGATAGAAAGTTTTGTGGATGGTCCACTTAAGTTGACATAAGAATTTCTCAAATAGTAGATACACTCTTTAGGTCGTAGGCAACTACACCTCCTAAACCATTTCATTTACACTTACATCCCTAGACTCCAGTCGACATTTCTTTCTTAAAGTTAAGATGTCTCATGGCAACAATGATGTAAATTAAGTTGCTAAAAAAATTTAAAAAAAAAAGAATCACTAGATCGTCCTCAAAATTTAGGATAAAAACTAACATCGTCCGAGATTATGGATACAAGGGTCAATAAATAGTTTAACATACATAAATGAATACACCAATTTAGTAAATAGGACATATTAAACTTATTCATATACGTGTTCATGCACATCAAACTTTTGTGACACGTCAGATTCAACCTTTGCTGCATCGGCAACAAGACTAAGCTTCATATGCTCAATCACAATTACTACAATCTCGAGGAAAAAAAAAACAAGAAAACTCATTTTCTTCCAAAGAATAATTTTACAACGTCACATGCCAAAAAGAATAAATACGACCTTCATTACAGATCACCGTGACCAAAGAATGCATACAATCAGAAGAGCTCTATATATAACACGTTACATATCCCGCAAAACAACCAAACTTTACCTTATCTTCTTCAAGCACTTTACCTTCTCAAAATCTGGAATGGCATAGGTTTTCTCAATCTCCCATGCAAGATGAGACATCAAATTGAACGAAGATTTGACGCCCTTCTCGTCTGTAACTTCTCTCGGGAAAGGAATTCTTGCTGCAAACACTCCCTCATCGGAGTATAGATACAAGTCAAACCCTAGACGATCTACCCATATTATTTTCGCAGCTGTTGCCTGACATTGGATATAGATGTCAAGGAAAGATGATATATCAAACGTTGAACATTGAATTTAATGTAGTTCTAGTTTCTTTGTTCAATATTTAATGCAAGCACTAGGTTTCTAACGAAATTCTTTTTGCGCAAATAGTCTAAAAAGCTGAAACCTTGACTTAACAGACTAATGGGAGTTAGAGATGATCTTATTAACACTATAAAGAACATTTTTTGGGCAACACTTGAACTTGATATCAAACATAAGTTTTTGTTTTTGGTATGAGGTGTTTCATTCACATCCACTCATTCAGATGGGGGACCACATTCACATGTGTTGAAGAGTAGATGAGAATGAGAAAACTCAATACCAAGCACAAAATTATCAAATTCCTACATTTTTCTCACACATACACACATAGAACTTGGTATCAAACATAAGTTTTTGTTTTTGGTATGATATGTTTCATTCACATCCACTCATTCAGATGGGAGACCACATTTACATGTGTTGAAGAGCAGATGAGAATGAGAAACCTCAATACCTGCCAAGCACAAAATTTATCAAATTCCTATATTTTTCTCACACACACATATAGAGGGTTGGGGGTGGAGTGGGGTGGGTGGGACTGGCTTAAGAGGGCATCTGCTTTTGCTCTTGGTCGTGTGTGGAGCTGGCTGGATTGAGATGAACGCTGTTAGTGGCAGGCTTTCAATGGCAGCCGGTAAAATTTATTTATTTTTTATGGGATTTTTGATAGTGGTTGACAGCGTATTTTCATTAAATTAGATTAGTCTATTTCTATATTCATTATATTCTTTAAGATCGATGCCACGCATTGTCTGTAGTATCGTATTTGTGAGCTTATTACTCTACAATACAATTTTGGCAAATAGATCTAACACTGTAGAAGTGATAACTTTAGAATTTGCTAAGAAGTGTTGTTTAAATTCACGAAGAACGATCTCTTAGTATACAAAAAAATATCATAAAGTGATTTTTATTGAGAAAAAATGACGCCTCTAGGACTAGGCACTTGTCTACTTAAATAGAAAACAAAGTAGACTTTTACTAAAATTCAAAATTTGCCAAAAATAAAAATAGCAAAACTATCCTAAAAAGACTCAATAGATTGAAGAAATCAATTGATCAAATTTAGAATTAAACTGAATTTATTTCCTAATCAAACAAACTTCTAAGTCACCCAAAATAGTAAAAAAAAAAAACTATATATATCTCTCAACCCAGAGGGAATTTTGTGAAACGGACGGTAGCACGACGAACACAACCGGTTTAGGTTGACTCCATCCCGCAAAAAACATGTGATCTTCATTTATTAATCGTCCAATTCCAATGTACGGTTTAAGAGATATGATGCATTCTTCGTTGCAAGTCAATATCCTTTTTTTTTTAGAGAACAAGTCAATATCGTTTTGTCTCCATGAACGCATTCGGAAGATCAAGATTTTCCGAAAGTAATTTTCTCTTTATCTTAGGATAAAAGAGTCAAGATATTTTCACTACTCAAGAGTTTTATGTGCGAAAATCAAACTCCATGGATATATAATAAGTTTCAAAGCGCGATGATAAGAGGGTATATATATATGCAATTAATCCTATTCGTTACATTCATTCTCCATCTATATAACTTGTTCTCAAAAGGATCCAAAATCCCGCCAATTACTTGTTCTCAAAAGGAAATTCTTCTTCCAGGAGCTGATTTTGGCCCATAGAATTAGAAACCACTGATAGGATTATATAAAGAACCTTGCCTTCGTTGACTTATTCCGTTGGCTTTTAAAACGCTCAAACAATTATTCTCCGGTCCTGTTTCCACTCTCCATCCTAACTAGAATCAGATACCAGAGCCCCCCCCACCTCATTCTCCTCCCAAAAATCAAATTGATATTTGCCTCTCCAATATATAAATGCGACTCTCAACTTCCCCCTCTCTTTAACACAGAACCTCATAATTCTCAACCCTTGAGGTCGATTAAAATGGCCTCTAGAAGGATTATTAAGGAGCTCAAAGATCTTCAGAGAGACCCACCAACTTCATGCAGTGCAGGTAAAAACAGCTAATTAATTAGTTTGTATCTCCGCCTCGTCGAGTTCTTGCATATCAAATAGCATATTGGCAAAGTTATAAGTCGATGTATGTATTTGGTTTTGTCTTAGGTCCTGTTGCAGAGGACATCTTTCACTGGCAAGCAACCATCATGGGTCCTAATGACAGTCCTTACGCTGGTGGCGTTTTCGTCGTTTCGATCCACTTCCCTCCTGATTATCCCTTCAAGCCTCCTAAGGTAGATGATGGAAGGGTAAAATGAAAGAAAAAGAATAACTAACTAACTAGCTAGGACCCATTTTAATTAAGTTTGATCAAATGATGAGTTGTAGTTCAGCTTTACGTACGTATAGTAGCGTTCAGTTTACTTTATAATTAATCAGATCCATTCGAACCGTTTTTTGTATCTTAATTTTGTGTTATGTTATTAATTTCATGTAGGGTGAATCTGTTTTAGCTTGTTTAATGAATCTTTAACTAAAATTAGACTGTACGTTGTAGGCTCCTCACACTATGTATAACCCTTTTAATCAAAACAATTAGTACATGAAAAGGTTTCTAAGCTCACTCACAAGTGACTAAGCCAGGAAAATTTAATTTTTGGTTTATATCATTTTAGATCCGTTGGTTATATTTATAATTTTTTTTTTCTAAATTAAGTTATAGCAGTCTGCCGGTTAATAGTCATGATAATGTCTGCTTTTTTTTCTGATAGGGATGGAGGTTCTAATTCTGTAAGTGGCTCTCTTTGATTTATTGCAACAGGTTGCTTTCAGGACAAAAGTCTTCCATCCGAATATTAACAGCAATGGTAACATATGTCTAGATATTCTCAAGGATCAGTGGAGTCCAGCTCTAACAATTTCAAAGGTAATTACTAGGTCTTGAGCATAGAGAAAAATCGAACAAATTGAAGTTTAATTAGGGTTTCATTAAAAATGCACCGAGATTTGTTCAGTACTATGTAACTTCAGAGAGCAGTTTTTGCATCTAATTAATGATGTTTTTGTCATAATGATCGATGTTTTCAAAATCAAAGCCTAGGAGCAGGGCTTTTTGATAATAAAATTATCTGAGAAAATTTTCTATTTTCATTATAACACATGAATTGTCATGGTGATTAAGTTGACAACATGCATACTTGAACTAATCCAGAGATCTTGATTTAAACTATTAGCCCTCTCGCTAACCGGAACATAGTTACTAATCCCATTTATCCTCTAAGTAATGATAACTTCATAGCATACAAGACACTTTTTTTTTGGCATGAATGGTAGGTATTATTTCAATACCAAATGTGAAAGATATGTGCAGGCTCCAATTAAAATTAAAACATCTCATAAAGGTCATGAGTTGTATACAATCATGTCCCTCAACAACTCTAAAAATTAAACAGAATCTTCTACCACCACATCACCAAAAACACTCTTCTATTCTTCTGCGTATCTCTCATAGTCTGCTTTTGCGGATCTTCAGGAAGAATTTGATTTGTTCGACCAACAGTTCAACTTCAGGAGAATTTTTTCTGAAAATAACATAATTTCTAGCTTGCCATATGATAAACCGCTGCAACCAGAATAGCCCTTTGATTCCTGTTCCACTTTTTGATCGCCCAAGGAACGATATAGCCACATCTACAAGAACCTTGAATCCACCATAATAAATTGCAGAATGTTATGCCTGACTTGCTTGCTAAAATCACATTCAAAGAAAATGTGATTGATTTCTGGTAGTTTCATCAAATGGGGCACAAACTGGACATTCAGTCCAAATGAAGACTAGTCAGTAGCTATACATATAAGGAAGAATAATAACATCAACATGACAAAATCTGAGAATATATTATCTGCAAAATTTTTTTACTTCAGTGTCTCCTGATATTTGTTACTATTTTAAACATACTTAACGTTCTTAACTCTACATTGCCATTGTTACAGGTTCTTCTGTCAATTTGCTCATTGCTCACTGATCCAAACCCTGATGACCCCTTGGTACCTGAGATTGCTCACATGTGCAAGAACGATCGTTACAGATATGAGTCCACTGCTCGTAGCTGGACCCAGAAGTATGCCATGGGCTAATCATGAGACTTTATGCTATATCTTATTAGCGAAACATTGACATAATGTCCCATTGAAAAAATGTCAAGTTCCATAATGCTCTCCTTCACTGAGAGGAATTAAGGGATTTTATTTCTATTTTGACATCTCATCAGTAGAATAAAATGGTGCGATGTTTTTTATTGATTAAGATATTTGTTTTCAGGTTTACTGTGATGCTCTTGCTATGTAACAATTTAAATAGGTCATTATGACACTCAAGTTTCAGATAAAAATTTGGGTTTTATGGACAATGCTCCCTCTGTTGAACAACCTTAGTGAGTAGTTTATATTTCTTCTGTCCTCTTGTCATCTTTATCTTTTCGAAGTAATTAATAATTTAAAATAAGAGCAAAGCGTTAACCATAAAATTATCTTTTATAAAGAAAAACTAAATTGCTTTTCATTCATCATTTGGGATAATTTCTTGATCATTTCTCAACAAATATTTATCAAATAACCCACAAAAGAAATAAATAAAAAAGAAAAAAGAATATGTATTTAATAAATATGAATTTCTATCGAAACTTACTAGTGGTTATGAAAATTTTAGAATCTACCAATCTAGATGGCTCCGTCCCGTCGAGATAAGTGATTTTCATATATAACATGTAAAATTCTATTTTTTGCATAGTGACTTGATTTCTTTTCAGATTTACTTTGATGTTAATTGCAAGCTAAGTTATTGATAATTGTTGTCTAAGAAATTGATACAACAATAACAACCACCAAGCCTTTATCCCAAATGTTTGGGGTCAGCTACATGAAATCCTATTTTTTTCATTCCATTCTGTTATGAGTCATCTTCTCCATTAAGTTAGTCCTAATCATATCCTTTTTAATTGCTTCTAACCAAGTTATTCTAGGTCCACCTCTAGATCTCCTAACCCTGTTAACTCTAATATTATCGTTTTTTCTTATCAGTGCACTAAGGGGTCTCCTTTGTACATGACCAAACTATTTCAATCTATTCTCTCTCATTTTATCCTCAATAGGAGTAACTTCTAATTTACTACAGATGTACTCATTTCTTATCCTATCTTTTAATGTATACACACAAGACCATCACAACATTCTCATTTCTGCTATACTTATTTTTTGAACATATTGTTCTTTAGTTGGCTAACACTCTGACCCATAAATCATAGTTGGTCGTATAACCGTCTTATAGAATTTTTTCTTTAGTTTTATTGGTATTCTACGATCACATAAAACTCCCGAAGAACTCCTCCATTTCAACCATCCTGATTTGATTCGATGTACAACATCATCCTCTATCTCACCATTATACCTAATGACTGATCCTAAATAGCAAAAATGATTAGTTTTAGGTATTTCTTGGCCATCAATATGTACCGTAGGCTCTCTTCATTTCCTAGTTTTACTAAAAATGCACTCCATATATTTTATTTTTGTTCTACTAATTCTAAAACCTTTAGATTCAAGAGTTTGTCTTCATCTTTCTACTTTAGAAATAATGCCTCTTCTAGTTTCATCAACTAACACTATATCATTAGTAAATAACATACACCATGGAATTTCATCTTGAATGTGCTTAGTAAGTTGATTCACGACTAATGTAAAAAAGATAAGGATTTAAAGCCAACCCTTAGTATAAACCTATGGTAACAAGAAATAGTTTAGTCTCTCCTTCATTAGTTCTTACTCTGGTTGTTATTCTATCATACATATCTTTAATCACATTAATATATATACTAGATACATATTTTTTCTAGCACCCACCACATTACCTCTTTAGGCACTCTATCACAAGTTTTTCCTAGATCGATAGAAACCATATGTAGATCCTTTCTCTTCTCTTTATATCTCTCCATCAATCGTCTTAAAATATGTATAGGTTCTATAGTTGACCTCCCAGACATAAAACCAAATTGATTTCCAGATATACTTGTCTTCTTTCTTAATCTTTGCTCAATTACCCTCTCGTAAAGTTTTATATTATGACACATGAGTTTTATACCTTGATAATTTGAATAACTTTGTATATCTCCTTTATTCTTATATATTGGTATCAAAGCACTAATCTTCTACTCATCTGACATTCTTTTCCTCTTGATAATCTTATTAAATAGTTTAATTAACCATCCTAAGCCTATATCTCCAAGATAATTACAAACTACAATAGAGATATCTCTCAGTCCTATGGCTCTTTTATTTTTATTTTCTTTAGACCATCTTTAGCCTCACTAATCCTAATTTTTTTGACAATACTATAGTTCCTATCATTCACTATATGATTAAAATCTCTATCGTGACGCCCCTGGTTTCACATAAGGCTGAAGTCCAAGGTGAACCTAATAATGTCAAATCTGCCATGCACCCACACTGTGCAAAGATACATTTTACCATCACAATAATCTCTCTCTAGTGGAATCAACAATAAACAAGTGTAGGTACAAAGCAGATAGAATAAAGATAGTAATGCAATGACCATGATAAAGGAAGTGAGAGTATCCAATAAAAACATAATCATGTTCCAACTGAATAAAATAAAGTACAACTGATAAACTGAAGCAAAATGTGAAATGTCTCAATACATAGATTCAAATAAAATAACACTAAGGCACTCAGCCTTTCCAAGATGAAATACAACTTTAATGTCTGAAAATAAATAATAACTATTGTAGAGCATAAATAAACTACTAATAATATATGATGGTGAGCTAAAATGCATCTCCATCAACCTGCGACTCTCCGGACGCCTGGCTTGCTACCTGAAAAGAGGGAAAACAATGAGCGTCAAAGCGCTGGCGAGATCATCTCCACCGCCCCTAGGGGAAAGGGGGTTAGGAGTATAAAAATATAGTTAGTACATATAGATATATATAAATCATCTATCCTGAACTAAGAGGAAATTAAGATTTATAAATTCACAACACGAGAATGAGTACGTCGAGTGAAATAATCCAAATAAGGAAACCCTTATGTATATACCCATGTATCTCAAATTGTGAATCGCTAAACCCCAACTCTAAGATCCTATGAATGAAACGATAAGTAAAATAAATACAACTCCAAACCTCAATCAATACAAGTCATGTTAAATATCTCACCATACCCTCGGGTAGGTGGCGCAGTCACAAGTATAATATCCTGGTCAAGAAAACTCACATAGAATATGCCGTGCTTGACAACCTCAGTCCTATACCCTATTCTTGGGTAAATATCATGGGAGCATGAATGCAGTGTGTGTAATCTTCTATCAGAAATAATGATGCTAAATGGAGTGTAGTCTACTACGATTTCATTGCAGTATGCCAACTAACCACCCTGAGTGTAGTTTACCATGGTCTCATTGCGGTATGCCAACTAACCACCTAATTCTGGAAACAGTGATGCACAACGGAGTATAGTCTACCGCGGTCTCATTGTAGTATACAAACTAACTACCTTGAGTGTAGTCTACCGCGGTCTCATTGCGGTATGCCAACTAACCCACTCAAGCATCCAACCATCATAAATTGAGTGTAGTCTACCGCGGTCTCATTGCGGTATGCCAACTAACCCACTCAAGCATCCAACCATCATAAATGCAATATATGTCACTATCTATCCATTGCGGTATGCCAACTAACCCACTCAAGCATCCAACCATCATAAATGCAATATATGTCACTATCTATCATGACAAATAAAAATGTGGAGTTACGTACCTCCAAACGCTTGTGCATGCTCAAATCCAGTCTGTGTACTCTCGTATACAACGCATGTATCTCGATGTGCGACTCATACTTCATGTGTGTGAACGGAAACACATGAAATAAAACTAAAATGCACAGAACTACCTAGACCAGTCGATCGATCATGTGTCATCGGTCGACTGATGGCTTGCATAACTGTGCACAAAACTGCCTTAATCGGCTGACTGGTGGTCCATGACCGGTCGACTGATTAGAGCAAACACAAAACCTTGCTAACAAATCATCGGTCAACTAATCATCTTTGATCGGTCGACCAACGAGATGTAAAAACATAGTTTTCAGCCTTTAACTGATATTCTCATAAATTCATTAAAAATTGATGTTTTCTTAGTAAAACTCATGTGTTAAAATTGGTTTAAGGAAAATTAGGGTTTATTCTATTGCATGAAATTACAAATATGAATTTGGAAATAAATATAAAACCCTAACACATTCATATACGTAAGATCATCATGAAAACAACTAACTTTAATCAAAACTCATGTTAAATCACATTCAAAACTCAAACCCACATCTAGAAATCCGTTTTATATCTTTTTAAATCAAAAAGAGTAGATCTTTATATCACACGGTTCAAAAGAAGTGATCTTTATACATAAACTAGGTTTAGAAATCCGACAAACTAAATAAAAATATTTTAAAAAATGGGGGATGTGTTTGGAGAAGATGAAACTCGCCTCAAACGTCATGCTGAAACTCCTAAATATGCGTGAGCACGATCCTCCTTCACCAAAGCCGCAGACCTCGCCCTCCCCTCGATATTTGCTGCATAAAGCTCTCAAAACTCACAAAATTAATTCTAGGTTTTTGAGGGAAGATGGTGGCTTTTGTTCATGTGAAAATATGAAGAAAAAGAGATTTTTGGGTATAATATAAATATATATATATATATATAATATATATATATAATATTATATATATATATATATATATATATATTATATATATAATATATATATATATATATATATATATATATATATATATATATAATATATATATATATATATATATATATATATATTATATACAGGCAAACCCGAATCAAAACAATAAGACCCGAAACCAAATCCTACCGTGGATTCTGCCTGCCATCGTGACTGGTTTGCTAGGACTGGTCCACCGACTGTGTTCATCGTCGACTGGTCCATCTACGGACCAGTCGACTGATCAGTGCACAAATGCAGATTGTTAGGTTTTCGCATATGTTCATATTTACACTTATATGTTCATATATATACACTTAATCGATCTCAAATCGATTACTAACATACTCATTCATCTCAGAATAGTATGAATCATAATAAAAATTATTTAATATTATTTTTTACAATATTTTCAAATTTACGGGGTTTTACATTCACCCCCCCTTAAAAGAATTTCATACTCGAAATTCCGTAATCGTATCTTAGACATTAATAATATAAGAAAAGCACGTTAAGGAGATAATCCAGATAAGGAAACTCTCACATACACTTCTCGTACCATTAATCTCTAGATATGAATCACAAGTAATATTTACACTTAACAAT